TTTTTCCCCTCTTGCAGAATAGCTGTAGATGGAGGATCTCTTTAATTCATTGTATTTTGCTGCCTAGCACCAGTAATCTTGATACCTTAATTTTCTTTCTACTTTATTAAAAATGCATGTGTTTAAGAAGATGATCTTTTGGCATACTTCCATTGCATTAACAGTGAAATTTCCTTTTATACGTGACCACTGTTTCAGACCTGTGCAGCTGCTATAACAGATAACTTTTGTTTTTAATTGAATACTTCAAAACTGTTCCTGCGTAACTATTATACGGATTTTTTCAGACTAGTTATAAAACTTACTTGAAGTATAATGTGCTTAAGCCTTCAGTTTAAAGTAGTCCACTTCAAAATTCAGTGTAGAAAAGTCAATGTGGTAATGCATAGTAGTTACAAAGCTTGTGTCTGTCCTTAAAACGCTGTTTTGTTTGAGTGATGGGAGTGGTTAAGAACTTCCTGCAGAGCAGATAACTTCTCTTTTTGTAAATATTCAAGTATTTGAATCAACTGATTATTTTTTTATATATACTTGAAACTTCTTATTGCTCTAATGCTCATACTAAAAAGCTGATTCTCTTGAAATCATATGTTTGCTCTTTGCATATTTATTGGCTCTTTGCATATATTAGACTACATGCACTACAGTCTGTCTTGCCATTGTCTGTTGAAGTGCAGGTTTGATCCAGCCAGTATAGAACTAGCTCTATAGGGGTGAGGAGGACTGTGCTGTGTATCATCCTTGATTGTTCCTTCAAGGAGCATTGCACTGTAAGTACATCAGAATGACAAATTGATGAACTGCAACAGTATCTTTTTGTCAATGTTCCACATAATGCAAATGCTGTACTTGTGTGATATTATGTTGGAATACAGTGCTGGTATCTTAGGAAATCATAATTGCTTCTTAATTCAGAAACATAGGTTTGCTTATATATACATACACATAATCTGAGTTTTGTGGGTAAGTATTTCTGAAACTTTTAGCAATAGCTAAAGAAAATCATGTTTCTGTTTATCTGAGTAAGAGTTTCTTTCATTAGTACTCATGAGACAGCTGTCATTCAGTGTTTTAAAGTGTGCATATCATAACATTGAAGTCTTTGGAACCACTTGTTAGGCAGAGTTGTCTTTGTCTCCAGATAGTTTGTGGATATGTAGTGATGTAGGTATGTTTTAAATCTATAACTGTTAATTGCTTTAATTTTTGGAACACCATGTTGTTGCTTTGAGAATAAATTTTTTAGGGTGGCTGCACAGAGAAGTAAAAGTTAAGGCTTGAAAACTGAAGTAGTTTTTTCAGGTAATCAGCAATGTATGTATTGTGCTGTAGAAATAGAAGGAATTATTTTTATCCCTTTTAAAACTAGGAATTTGCTGGTAGCTTGAAGAAGGCTAGGACAGTATTGCTATCTTTAGAGTAGGTTATTAAGTTTATTCGTTCAGGTAGTTTGCATGGTATTTTGTAGATAACCTTACAGAATGGTGCATTTATTATGTACTAAACTGAGCAAAATTAAATTCACTGGATTCTTTATCATTCACAAAATGGAGGCTGTTGATTTTGATTCATTTAAGGTATAAAATCTTTATTAATTGCAAACAGTGCAATTATTTATACTTCACAGTGCCTTCCCAGACCTTCCACCTTAGGTTCTGCTGCAAAAAAGCAACAGGTAAGCACAACCTAAGGAAGTATATAAATTAATATATTTCAGTACATTAATGTTGTCCCTGTGAGATCTTTGTGGTTGTGTATTGAAAAGCAATCTGCTGCTTCCCCAAATGCATTGTTACTCACGGTTCCATTTGAACGGAAAATCTTAAGTTTTTAAACAACTGTTTATATTTCTAGGTCAATATGTATTTTTTTCTTTTTGCCTTTTTTTTTTTTTTTTTTTTTTTTTAGGAAAGATTATTAGATTGCAGTAATTGAACTTAATCAGAATAAGTAATTTTTGTTATTTTACCCAAATAGATAATTGTTGCAATTAAAGAATCAAAACCTTTAAAATGTGCAGGAATTGCTTTGGTTAGAAATGTCAACAGCCTTCACAGATGTTTTTTTTTTTTAATAAGAGGGCACTATTCACACTTAATCCGTAAGACCTAAATGTAAAGAATGACTTCTTGTTGTTATCACTGAACTTGATAACTTGTCTTACAGTTATAGTGTGTTAGTGGAATTTGCTTATTCATACTTGACATGGTAGGAAAAGAGATTTTGGAGTTTGAGATGAGTATGTTTTAACTGCAAAAGCATGAGCACCAGTTAACAGTACGGCAAATAATATTATATTGCTATAGCAGTCAGTGTATCCTGTTTCTTGATATTTTTAACTGAATTGCTGAATATTTTGATAGTATAAAATGTTAAATGTCTTACAGATGGTCTGGTACAGGTCTTTATTCTGAGCTTTTGTTGTTGGTTTTTTTAGCTTAACATAAAGCAGCATCTGTTTGGTTTTTTTGTTCATTATTCTGGTTATGAAATGTACTGCTCCTCTTTCAAAAGTCCTGCTTATTTGTACATCAAAGAAAAATATTCAAAAATACTGCCTTCATTTTCACACACAGTGCTGAAGATGCTGCAAGCACCAAATCATAGCTCATAGAATCAGGTCCTGAGATAGTTACTACCAGTAAAGAGGAATCCTTTGAGTGTATGCCATTGGTGAGCCGATGAGCATGGACCATAGAAGGGCTCCATGTGGAAGGTAAAATTGGCAAAAGCATAACAGATTTGAAATGTATCCCATACATAATGATATAGGGTATAATTTTTGTTTTGATCACTTTTCATTCTTTAAAGTATTCTTTGTTTGACCATTAATGTTCCATAATCTGTTAAAGTTTTTAAGCTGTGATTTAATAATATAAACCATCTATTTTACTTTATATTTTTCTGAACAGTCAAGCTAATTTTTGACCTGAATTAATAGTTGTGCTTCAGTTTCTCAAGCCACTAAGTATTTCATGTGTAGTTAAACATGTAACTTCATTTTTGACGTGAGAAGAGGGTAGGTGTGTACCATTTGGATTTTGATACTGTGGATTTAGTGTGGGGGTGAGTCATTTGTTCACTTCCTTTTTACATGGTACTTTTTCCTTCAACTGTTACTCCTGAAATATCTTGAACAGTCTTTCAGTTGCTAATTTAGCCTGTGGGAGGAGATAGAGAAGAAAAAGCCAGTGTATTGGGATGTTCTAGTGTGTGGAAGGTGAGATGTTCTGTGTAGCATTTGAGTGTATTGGCTTCCAGCTTTCTCACTGCAGGGCTTACGGGTGTGCTGGTTTGTGCAGAGCATAGTGTTCCTGTTCTTTTTCTACTCTTGTCTCCAAACTCGGAGGTCCTGGGACAGCAGTAGATTATTGGAGTTACCCCAGTAGCTAAAAAGATAACTGGACTTGTTTAGAAATGCAATTAACTTGTCCAAAAGGTGTCTTGAAATGTTTCCTGCTTACCCCACCCATCACTGCTTAGTGTCCCACAATGAATGTGAAGAGTAAGAAAAGTTTTAAAAGCAAGCATAATGTTCCAAGTAGGAAAAGAATGTTCATATCACTTTCTGCAGCCTATACTTTATTAGGACACTGAATAAAATACCAGGTGGATACTCTCTAGCGTGGCTTAATTATAAGTCATCTTTTTCACTTGTCAGGCAGACAGGATCACAATTCACTTGCACAGCCTATCTTGAAATATTTCATCTTTATACTAGTGATATTTTATTGGATGGTAGAAACTGTTTCTCCCTGTTTCTTTTCCAAAGTAATTCTTAAGTTTTCCATTGCATGCTAAAAGCTTTTCCATTTTGCTTTTTTTCTGGAAGTGGGGGGAGGAAGGGAGGACTGGGCTTTTCAGAAAGCATACAATTGACAGGATTCCCTCTTCCCTAGTAATAGCTTATGAAACTCTTGTGTATGCACAAATATTTCTCTTGCGTGCATGTGAAATGCCTTTTCGTCCTGAGAAAAGTGTTCTCTGCAGAAACTACCCGTGTGTAAACAGAAGATTGGCTTTAAAAGGCAACTGTGATGGGAACAGTGTCTTAGGGAGATGCAGCTTGGACTTGAGGTAAATTGAATGCTTTACAAAACTGTGGTTTTGAGCTTGCATTGACATTGTATGTAATATGGGTACACTTAACTGTATAATGGTTTTTGTATGGTTTTTCTCAATAAATGTAAACTGATGAATAATAATAGCAATGTTTTTGTCTTTTTTATACTCCTATCCCTTCCTTTGTTAGTTTGAAGTAACAGCTTCAGAGTAAAAATATTGTAGGAACCTGTACTTCTGTGAATGAACATGACCCACAAAAATGAAGTAAAATGTTTATGTGGTTATTAGGGTAAATACTAATTCAAAACACCATGCAGCTTGTTACCATTTTTTAATGAGGCCAAAGAGTGCTTTCTTTGTACAGTTACCTGCTACAAGTCAGATTTAGCCACAGGAAAATTCCTTGTTGAAATGACTGCATAAATTTAATTTCCTGCAGCTTACCTTGCCCTTATGTCAAGGCCTATACACAAGTACTTTAAAATGTGACCTTTTTATGTAAAGTGACTCCTCCTGAAGCTTCATCTCAGTGGTTCAGATGGATGTTAGCAGAGTGACATGAATGTTGATGTCAGGAGGTCTTAGAGAAAAGCGGTACAGTAGCCTTAAGAAAATGTTTATAGATGTGGCAGTGAACTTACTGCGTTAAGAGTGAGAAAATAGGCCCTTCATGAAAATATTTTTCTTAAAGCTTTTTTTTTTACCAGCTTCAAATATGAGCCAATCATAGATGTTACCACCTGTTTCTGTGTCATTTAATCAATGAAAAACAATCATGAGTTTTACAAGCAAGTGCTGGTACTTCGAAGACTACTACAAACCTAAAGGAGATTGTTTTTATTTGAGATTATCAGCTGCACGGGTTGATCAGAGCAGAACATTTTCAATGCAAGCCCATTTTGAAACAAAATAAGTTATTCTGCTTGAAACAATGGTGAGCAGTTACATCATCCTTTATTCTTTAAAAATAGTACACTTGGGTTTTGGAAAATCATCAGTAAGTATTTCCTTTGCCAGTTCAGTGCCTCTGGGATAAAGTAAAACAGCTTAAGTATTCAGTGCTCATGCAGGATACACCAATTGATTAACACTACTACACATGTTCCATATCGTGTATTCAGCTTTATTGTTATGCAAGAATTGGTCTTCAAATGCTGGAGCACTATGATAATTCAGCCTTTTCCTTCAGTTGATCTTTCATAGATTGATTTTTAAATTTTTAGCTTTTGATGCTAGTTTTTGCATTGAATAGGGAATTCTCACAATTTGAAGGGTATATTCTTATCTGATGCAGGAATGACAAATTAATGCACATCCTTGCTTTCTTTAGTTGGCCCCATCAGAGAAAGAGATGATGCAGTAAGAAAGTTGAGGGGAAGAAAGATTCCAGCTAAAGTAGAGCATTAGTAGTCATCAGCTAGAAAACAGAAAAAAGAGTTAAGAGAGACAGGAAGTTAGATTTTCGTAACAGGAAAGATGCAAGAAGACTGAGATACAAGCAAATGAAAATGCTAGCTCTTACTTTCAATGGTGAGAATACAGGTGCTAGCAGCTGAGCCTCTGTTGTTGACTGCTTTACACATGTATTCCCCTTCATCTTCTGGGAAGGTTTCTGGCAAGTAAAGGCAGTAGGTTTCTCCTCTTTCAATATATTGATAGTCCTCAGAGTCCTGTAACATTTCCCCTTCAAACCACCATGTAACTTCAGGTTTTGGTTCTCCAGTAATTTTAACTGTAAATCTCACTGGCTCTCCGTCAACAACTGATGTGTTTTTCAGTGACTTCTTGAACCAGGGAGCTCCAGATCGAGCTTGATCCTCATCTTCACAAGTAGAACCATTAATAATGCTTCCTTCTTCTTCTTCTTCCTCTTCCCTTTTCTGTTTTAAAATAAGTTGATTTAAAACATTTAAAGTGGCAATAGCACTATGACTGGTAGTGATGCATGTTTGATTACACGTTACTGTGTTTCTGAGAAGAGGAAATTCCACAGCTGTCCTTAATACATAACAATGCATCCAATCTGGGTATGCCACGGGCAGTAAAATGCATTTTAATGAGGCTGGAATGTTGGTGTAAGATACAGGCATGAATGTCAATTCCATTTTCAGACTATGCATGGGGTGTCTTCTGCAGTGTCTCTGGTACTCTATTCCAAGTGTTGAGATTGGATGTAGCTTTGAGCAGCCTGCTCTAATGGGAGGTGTCCCTGCCTACATCAGGGGAGTCAGAACTAGATGATTTTAAGGTCCCTTCAACCCAAACCATTCTTTGATTCCATGGAGAGTATGTGCAAACACCAAAAGCAATTTTGTGTTATTTCAGCAATTCCTAGCACCTGCTAAAAGAAATAAAATATTCCTTTTCTATCTGGTAGTGTTGCCTACAGTGGTAATTAGAAGCTAAGTTAAATGACACAATTGGAGAATATTATTTTGCAATTTATACCTTCTGTAATGCTGCATCAATTTCTTTTTGTTCAAACTGCATGCGTAGTAATTTCTGTTCCTCAATCCTCCTCTGCTCTTCTTCTTCTCTGGCTCTTGCCATTTGCTCAAAACGAGCCTTCATGTTTACTTTGTGAGTAAATGGAGCCTCAGATTTCTTGGCTGGTATCACATCTACGTCATCATCCTTGGGAAATAATAATTAAAAACACAGCTTAACTATTATTTTTGCTTTAAACATATATATGATAGTAAAATTAGTTTTGTGTTCCCAGAGGTTTTTTTTAAGTGAGCAGAGCCACAAAGAGACCTGGATTTTTTCAGAGGTTTATTTGCGTGTAGGGCAAGTCTTGTAATAGTTCATCCAAGGATAGGACAAGATTTTTGCAAAAGTTATTTCAAAAATTGTGTGTAAAAAATATTCCTGAACTTCTATTCCTATAGAAGTTGAGCGCTTCTTGGCAGTTGTAAATCCTCAGTGACTGCAGTATTTTGCCATGATGTTAGCATGGGTTTAACACTTACAACTGTTGACCTTATGAAAACAATGTGTGTCAGTCATTAAATTAAAAGCTCACTAATAGGACGGGCTTTGCAGTGAAGCTGAAGTTACTCCTGTGGAGAAGAGCCAGAATGAAGCCCAGATCAGGCTTAGTAGTACAAATACTACTACTAAAACTTAGTTTAAAACTTTGTACTACAAAAAAACTTAGTAACTTAGTACTACTACTAAAACTTAGTTAATTTTTTCCATTTAATCACAGAAGTTCACTAAGCTTATGGATTACAGACAATTTTGTCACTGATAGCTTCATTTCTTGGGGTTTCCCCTCTGAAAAACTGAAGGTTCTGGTCTGAAGTACAGAATAGTAAGCACCCTCTTCTGCTCTACCCTGAGGGGTGAGTGTGCATGACACAGACTTGATCTTCAATGGTATTGTTTGGATTTGGTAATTGAATCTTTTATTCAATTGATGTAGAGGAGAATGAATAGTTCAGAAGGAGGAGCAGTTCAAGTGATGATTAATAGATAACTCTCAGATATGTTTTAAGCCCTCAGACTGACAGGTTTAAGGTTAAAATGCTGAACGGTAGGACTTTGAACAGAAAAGCAAAACTCTGCTTGATCAAAGCACCAGTAATAAACTGGTGTTGTTTCTTAAGGGATGCTGAGGTGTGATATCCTTAAGCATCCAAGAGAGGGAACAGGAAAGAACAGAAAACATAATTTTGGAAACAGCAAAATTTGATGAAAGCAGCAGCATTGTCCACTCCTGCATCATTAGTGTCTGGTTAAGTAGATCATTAACATACACAGAATGCAACTTACCTCTTGGAATTTTTCAGCTTCCCTTTCTCTTATTTCTTCATCCATTGCTCTTCTCTTTGCTCGCTCTTCTTCAATCTTCTTCTGTATTTCTTCTTGAGACAATTGTCCTATTTTCTCAAACTTGCTTTTTAAGTTCTTTGCCTGAATAGAACCACTTCTTTTTAGCTTTAGCAATTCTTCATACTCTTTGCTTAACTCAAACGTTTCAGACTCTTCTTCCAGCTGTTCAGAAATTACAGAATATGTAAGATGGAAAATGCCCTCATTATTTTTACTACCTATTCTCCCCCAGATGGTGTAATTCAGTACATTACAGTTCTGTTAGTTATTTGAAATCAGTACAGAGACCTTTCCCCTGTATTTTTTTTTCCTTGTTACCTCATGATGAATGCATTTGTGTCATATCTCAAGTAGATACAGATTTTAAAATACCTTGCTTGAATATGCCATCTGTTCAAGGGTTGCTGTCAATAAACTGCCCTTCATGGGTTCAGGAAACCAGACACAGACCAATACAAACTCACCTGGAGTCCAAAATTCACCTCTACTTGGCTTGCAGTATGATATGAAGTACCATATTCTAAATCTAAAATACACCTGTTTTGTTAAAAATAAAATACTGCCTTTTTTATCTTTTTCTAATTAAATGGAAAAGTAAATGACATTTCAAGATGTCATAGCTGAAAAAGAAAGGGCAGTTGTGGATCCTGTAGTCAAACCACATGGGAAGCTGTAATTACTGATCTTTTTCTCCCTACTTTATGGCCTCTGACTGATTGTACAAATGTACATGCATTTTAGCTGATGTCCCTGTCTCTCCCTGCTTCCCCAGGATGAGTTGAGAACATCATAAGCTAGAGCCTTTACTACTTGCTCGAGCTTTGCAACAAAAATAATAAAATAATAAATTAATGTTCTGTAACATTCAAAAGGGAATAATAAACAATTGCCGCCCACAGCCACACTGTGTGTGAGCTTCATCCATGTGGTGTTTTAAACATTTGGGATGTAAAGCAGATGTTGTGTGTGATTTTTAAAATCAGCTGTGCCAGTCTTCAAACCCTTGAAACACCAATTAGAAAAAAGTCGAGCCCACTGTATTTTTCTCATTAGGTAGCACAGTATTTCTCTAAGGAAAAACAATAATTTTGCCCTTTTTTACTTCTATTTTTGTATTGTCTTTTGGGAACTAGATATTTCTGTTCTTCCAAGAGCATAAATATTATCTCATCATTTTAGTTATAGTCTAGCATTTTCAGAAATTATGCAAAACCAAATTAAAAATTTGTAACTGTACTTTCTTCAAAAGTTGCAGTGGATAAACACATTTTCCTGGTAGATTAGTGATTTTAAAATGTCATTATATAAAACGTTTTACAAATAAGGTTTTCTATTTGTCTTTCCTTTCATGTAATGTTGAATGTATTAACTTAAAACTTCTTTCAGAGAAATTTTTCTTTCCAGTCTTAAAATTTTAGTAATGAAGTGACACATTTTATTCAGAGCATGCTTAACATATAGTTTGATGTACAAACCTCTCCCATTTCTTGTCTCAGCTGTTGAAATTCTTGCCTTTCCATTTCCAACTTTTGCCTACGCTCTTCTTCTGTGCGCCTCTTTTCTTCTTCCATTTTTTGTCTCAGCAGCTCCTCAAAATTAATTTCCAGTTTACCAGGTATGAGAGATTCTTGAGAAAAGGTTTTAAACATTTCTGGTGATTCATCATCCAGCACCTGCTTGAAATTCAGAGCAATAATTATATCTGTGATGAAATCACAGCATTGTTCAGACACTTCTGGTATATAAAGATAAGTGACTACTTTGTCACATCTGCCCCAGCACAGACAGGTGCACTGAGCCAATGTGGACATTCCTCTAGTGGTGTGGGAGGGAGGAGGGAGTACTTTGGGGGGTTGTATTTAACTTTAGTTACAACACAACTTCTATAATGAAGATTAAGGTGTTTTGTTTTGGGTTTTTTTGTTTGTTTGTTTGTGGTTTTTTGTTTGTTTGGTTTTTTTTGTGCTAGTCTAGATCAGGGTTTTTTTTGCAGTCTCTACCAGAAAAAGATTGATGGGGGTGAAAGACAACTGCTTCAGTGTAAAGTGATGACACTGATGCTGGGGAGCATGGAAATAGCACAAGGAAATGTGAAAAAGGAAGATCCAAAAAGAGGTGGCATTTGTGTTTTCCAGCTACAACACTACCATTTCTACCACTTCCAAAACTAAATTAAAATGAATGAACACTAAAAAGTTCCTGGAATAACAATTTAACATTCATTTTTACTGTGTTTGAAAGAGAGGACTATTATACTTTTAAACATTTTGGGATATATCTTCGTTGCTGCTACGTTTTGTAGCTGTGGGGAATAAGGAACACAGAGAGTTATATTTGGTTTGTAGGAGAAAATGTAGTTTTCATATTCAGGATGCTACTTAACAGAGAACTTTCAAGTGCATAAATGCTGAAAATATATTTCAGTAATTTTTTTAGTTAAAGACCACTTTTGTTGTTTGCAAGTAGAGCAGTCACAGGCTCTGTGCTGCATGTGATGGATTACACCCTGTGTATCAGGGAGATTTTTCTTGCCTGGACACTTGAGTTCAGGTTCTTGCTACACTGAGGCCAAAAAAGAGATTCTCAAGAAAGGAAAAACCAGAAGCAAGAGCGCATACATTCTGTGCTTCCTTTAGTTCCTTTAGTTTCTCTACTGCCTTTTCGTAAAAACTATAGTAGCAGAAGTTTCCAGTAGCATTCTTTTGTTGGATTGAGGGTTTTTTAAGTGACTTTAAGCTCTATTTTCTTTCTCTGGAGATACAGACCGAAACTATTTTTCAGTACAGTATCAAATAAAAATTCACATAGTAGCTTCTCTAGGTAGTCTTTCAGCACAGGTGTTTGGCCCAATTTCCAGGCAGAGGGAGCCCTGCTGGCAGTATCAGTACTCATACAAAGTTTTCATTTCTCTACCAAGTATTGCTTTGAGTGATTAAGAAAATGTTATTGGGGATGCAGTTGGCCTTTCCCAATTCAGCCACAGAGGATGTAGGAAGATGTTACCAGATGCCTGGGTTATTCCTCAGTTCTAGACTGGCAGATCCTGCCCTCCCTTTTGAAACAAACACTATTTCACTAGTTTATATTTGTGTAATTTGATGCTGTATTTTCTGATATCCACCAATAAGTAACTGGCTTATACCCAAAAAAAGCTTGCTGAATCTTGAAGTGGTTGGAATAAGTATGAAAACCACAGTTAAAAGCTCTGTGGCCACTTTTTTTTTTTTTTTTTTTTTTTTTTTTTTTTTTTTTTTTAATAGTAGTTGCCAACTTCAGAAATCAGACATCTTTCTGTGCTTTCAGGTAGTGTATTTTAGTCCTAAGCCCCTGAAAATTTGTCTCCAGTGTAATCCTAAATCAAATTTTAGAAGTCCTGGCATATGACAGAAATCTGTGATCTGTGTTTGTCAAGGGAAGATAGTATTACAAAGTATTCTAATGGTAAGCACCAGAAGTTATTTTTTGTTTTTCTCGTAACAAGCATTAAAAACATCAAGTAGCAGAGTTCAGCCTTTTAGTTTTTTCTCCCTGAAGAGCCACAGATGACTGGAGGATTCATACTTGCAATGAGCATTTTTCTACTGTACCATTAATTGTGCTTTAGGAGTAAGAGATGACTGGTGTACACCCTGTAGAGGTAGGGGAATAAACTTGGAACTATAAAAGAAATTGCACTTCCCAAAAAAACCCTAAACAACAAACCCTCCTTGTGGAAACATTTTGCTTCCCAAGTATGTTGCATCTAGTGTAATGTTACCCACTGGATATGATACTTGGTTTTGACTAAATTATCTGAAATCCTCTCTAGGATGGCTGTGAGGAGGGATTGTTCTCTGATCATTTTTGGTAAATTAATTTGACTAGTTTACCCCATTACCTTACAATAAATAGTAAGGTGGACTTATTAATGAAGGAGTTGGAGTATGTATTCCTAACTTTATCTAAAAGTTTTTCCCAGAGTTTCTATATTGGGATTTAGGTAAAAATTAAATTTCTGCTAAACCAAAATGCCATACCATGTTCTTCCTTGCTTCAGCAAATGCTCTTTTCTCCTCTTCTATGCGTCGTCGTGCATCCTCTTCTGCTTTCCTCTTTTCCTCTTCTCTCCTCTGTCTTTCTATCTCCTCAAAACTGAGTCTGAGTTTACCAGGGCGGAATTCCTTAACAGCATTTTCAGAGTCTTCATCTCCAGCTTCATTTATCTTAAGAGAATAGGGAGAGGAAAACATAGAAAGCACTTAGCCAAACAAAAGATATTCTTTATAGAAAATAAATATTCCATTCCTTTCTGATCTTTTATAAGTACTGTTTTCTCCTTGGGGAAAAAAAATGCATCAAGGCTTAGGTTCCTGTGAGAAACATTTTAATCTTTGTTCTAGCCAGGGGAGCGAGATAAGAAATTTTCAGTATTCTATACATAGCTTTTGCAATTTTTAAAAATGTGTTGAGTGTGTAATTCAAAGAACAATGTGTAACCAGGAAGAGGCTGAACAGTTAAGTACATATTTTATGGTCTCATTGTTGGGTCATTTACTGTAAATCACTCTCTATTCTCTTTATTTACATTATTTTCATAGATGTTTATACCATCAAATCTTTTTGTTTGTATAGAAATTGCTTTCATCAGTGCACCACTTAACAAAATGCTGTACAGTCTTATAGCAAAACTGAATCAGTTAGCATTTTGCTATTACTCCAGACTGAGATTTTTGTTTCTTTTCTTTTTAGACATTTAATCATCACTGAAGAAAAGGAATTGAGATACTCTGATCTCCTCGCTATAGCTTCTCTCCAGTGAACACTTATGTGCTAAAAGAAGCCTGTGGTTTGTAAGCTGCAATCAAGAACCCCTTTCAGAGGACATCCCAGAGTACTTTTATCTCTTCATGGAGGAAGTGGACTGGGAGCTGTCAGAGTACTGATAATCCAGATCTCTATACTGTGACCAGCCCTGGGACTGGTATGTGGGGTAGCCCATTAAGGGAATTAGAGAAGTCTTTATTTCAAATTCATAAGGGAAAAAATTTGAAGAATTTAAGGAAATTAACTGCTGAATTCTTAAGAAAAATGTTTACTTCAAATTTTGACAACCACTGGCCAGCAAGTACAGCTTCATGTTAAAAAATTTATTTTGATGTGGAGAATTTGTAAATTATTTCATGTTACTTGATAAATAAATGCATAAGCATAAGGAAGGGAGATGTGAACTAATCTTCAGTTAGAGCACCTAAGTGACTTAATGGAGTTCACTTTCCTTCAGTCTCTTCTCTCTTCTCCTTTGCTAGAATCCCTTGCCCCAAACAAAAAAAAAAAAAGCTGCATTATTGTAATAATGACAAGGCCATTGGTGTGAAACAACAGTCATTTATTGGAGGTGGAGATGAAAAAGTAAACTACAATTTGGGTATCTGCCTAAACCTAGAACTCTCTCAATATGGACCAGTTGGGAATTTATGTGTTTCAGCTTTCTAGAAGTTCTGTATTGTTGATTTTAAGTTTGTTTCTGTAGAATATAAATGTCGTGAATGTTTTTGAAATGTAATCAAAATAGTGATCTAGAACTGTTTTTCCAAGACTGTTCATGCATAATTATACTCTGTTAAAGCTAGCAAGTTCCTATTAATAATGTTTTCCAAGTTTTTATGCAAGATTAAAATCTCATTTCTTGTTAATCTTGTTTGTATGTGAATTAAGAAGGTCATAGTGATCATGACTATACAGGGCAGAAGTATTCAAATAAAAATAAGGAAATACAGAACTCATCTATCTGGTTATCTTAGGTTAATACTAAGTGTATGATTCCTTCAGTATGATCAAAGAACAAACTACAATGAGCTCTATTTATAGCTGATCTAACTCTCTCTTATGATAAAGAACACGTATGGAGGCAGTTTTCCAAGTCATATTAAACAGGATCTGTGGGCTGCATTTCTGACAATTTAGGGGACTTCCTCTAGTAATTTATAGTATGTTGTTGTTTATATCAGTACGTAAAAAAGAGCTGATCTTTTTTTTTTTCCTTTCTTCACAAGAGTTGTAATTGATGTATATTTCTTATCACATTTACAAATAAATATGAGGATAAGAAACAGCATTTTGTTACTATGGAATGTTTGCATCAAAAAACAGTTACTTAACCATCTGCAGCATTACCTCAGAAGAAAACAGACAGCTACTCATCTTGAAGCTTACAGTTTAAGGTACTACAAAGTGTAGACAAAATCAAGTTGCTGGCAAAATCAAAACACCTGTTATTTTTTGGTTTACTAAAAGAATGTCTAAAGTATTACGCCAGTGTGGTTACTGAGAGCAAAGGTCAAAATGTCTTTCAAAAACTCATTTCCAGACTCTTAACAGCTTGAAATAAAGATAAGGAATAAGAGAAGAATCACATATAGGAAAGAATGTGCAAATTGTTACCAACATGAACAAAATGTGTGCTTACCATTCTCTGCCTGGCTTCTTCAAAGGCACGCTTTTCCTCTTCCAAACGTTGCCTTGCTTCTTCCTCTGCTTGCCGCCTTTGATTCTCCTGTCTTTGTCTTTCCAGTTCTTCAAATGTGACTTTCAGCTTGCCAGGAGACAGAGGCTCTTGAGTTTCACTGTTTTCATTTTCACCCTGTGTAAGGAAAATGAAACAGTTGTATCTTAAGGGAATAAATATCTATTATATAGGTATTTTTTGATTACTGGTTTACCTGGACAAATGAAAGGCACTTGGGTTCCTTAAGGAGTTGGTTTTGTTCCTCATCTTTTGGCTTCATTTCTTCATCGTGTGTCTTTCTTTGTTCTGCTGTCTCCTTTCCTGTGTTCTCAGGGATTATTTTCGTCTTCCCAGATGTCCTGGTGCTTTTTACAGGCACTACTGTAACTAGCAGTGAATCATCCCCTTCCTGTCCAAAAATATATTTATTACATTTTCATGAAACTTGACTTCTAGGTAGACTCATTTCTTAATGAACTTGCTGTTTTAACCTGTGTGCACCAAAACTTCCAAAAGATTTACTTGTATTGAATAAAGTCATTTGTTTTCTTCTAATATCTGAAGAGTATCAAGAACTGAATTATATTTTAAACCTAACAGCTGGCAAACACCCTAATTTCTTTATAGCTTTTCATTAACTGTTAGCCGTAAAAACTCAAGGTTTGGAAAAGAACAGGTGCCATTTTGAACACAACAATTTTAACCACACTCTACTTCCAGTTTTATATTTATTATGTAAATGATAGTAAATTGCAGCTAGAATAAGTCAATAACATAACACAGAATTATGTAATTTGTAATTTCTGTGATGTAATTTGTCAGGTACAGTAATTGTTTCTTGAAGGATGTTGTTGCTTCAACTCTATTTTTACAACTTATTTGCCAAAATATAATTTACCCATATTTTTCCCTCCTATCAAATAAGTTAAAACTGATGAATTTGCAGGTTTAGTTTTTTCTTTCCAAAACTGTAGTAGGAGTGTGATTTTCTTGTGTTAGTGAAAGACAGTAGGACCTTTGGACCTGCTTTTAGAAATGAAACATTTATTTGCAAGACTTAAAATCAAAAACCCGTATGGTAGATTAGTAAAAAAAATAACAAAGTTAACTGAGTGAGGTGTTCAAACGTCTGCATATTGTCAGAATTCCCCTTTAATTTCAAGTTTAAGGCAAAGAGCTTTTAAGATAATTCTTTGCAGAGTCAGAGGACTTAAAAGAATCATTCCCAGTATATACAAAATAATTCTGTGGCTTTGAATATTTACATTTTAGGTGTTTTTAACTAACCACAAAGTATTCATAGTGCAGGCTCTGTTTCAGACTTCAGTATGTTGACTTCAGGTAGAGATTGTTCCATATACGTTAAAAATTTGTTAGCTCCTTGGTTGAACTTTAATTCAGTATTTCTGTGCTGTTTTCTAAGTTTTCCCAACCCAAATTACAATAATAAAACAAAAAAAAAAAAGTGAATAAAAATGTAGGTGAACATTTCTTTAAAGAAAATCTGATTACCTCAGCTGCTGATTCAGTTCCCGTATTGTTAAAGTCATCAATCTATTAAATGAGAATTTCATATGATTACATTAATTTGGCTCTTTGCCTTAGAGTTGCAAACATAGAACTGGAAATTCTATTTGTATCAGTGATATGTATGTAGCACATAAATTCACAGAGGTGGTAATGACTGAGGCTCTGTTGGAATACTTCAGATAGGTCAGCTTGTCAAGGGAGAGGCAACAAGACATAAAACATCCCACACAAAGTCTGCTAAAGCATTCTCAACACAGTGCTGAACCAAGAACAGTACTTGAGATGTCTATTCTTCATTTAAACATTCCAGAATCATATAAATTAAAAAAAAAAAAACCTGAAGTCATTGATCATTTTTGATTCAAGTGACATTGTCTTCCCTCAGCTCCTGAAAAAAGCCTAATGCTGTGCTTACTTCCTATGCTGCGCCTGTGTTATGGCCTAAAACTGACGTACTTTTTAAAATTCTACATTTCTTACTTGCAGGGTAGATTTAATATATACTAAATACAATACAAATTAAAAGCAAGGTTTTAACAATGTAAGAAGTTCTAGTAGAAAAGACTGTTGAAAAACTGACTTCTCCTCTGGCACTGCTTTTCATTTCTTACAACAAATTAAAAACTAAATGAAGTATTACTATGATTTGGTTAAATAGAAATTTGCATATGTTTTTAGTCTCTCATTTAAAAATTTACTCTCACTGCAGTATTTGCAGCACTGAAGAAAACTGCAAAAGGAATTAAGTTTGATATCCCTTCACAAAATTTTACAAAAGACAGAATTTGCTTTATTGGCATCAATAAAATTGGAGTCTGTTCATATATTTTATGCATATATATATGTACACATATATGCATGCAATGATGATTCACAAACTGGCAAACAAATAAAACATGACCTGGTCTTCATGATTCATTATTTTTACTGCATTAGTGTTGTCTCATTTTTACCTGCCACTAATTTTTCTTACTATTTCTTGCTTCTTACTGTTTCTTTCTTCATGTATCACTGAGCTCTATTCACTAACTTACAAGGCCAGATCGTCTAAATTAAGAGTTGATAAAATACAAGAAACATTTTCAAATTAGTTTAGCAAACTTATATGCATGTGACACCAAAATTTGTGCCTGGTTCCTACCAGGTTTATGCCTGCCCATTTTGTCTGCAACTCTGGAGCTTACAAGAAAATTGTTACTGTAAAGAAATGAAAACTGAACATGATATTTCACTTCCACCTCACTGAGCATCTCCCATGTAAATCTCTACTATGAGAAATCTTAAGATCAAATCTTTCTGATCAATACAAAATGTTTTTAGTGTTTATTGTTTACAATTACATCCTGACTGTTGTGATCAGATGAACATACCTCCTGTGCCTTTTTTGCCAGTTCTCTTTGAATTTTTCTTTTCTCAATCATATCTTGTTCAATTCTGCGCTTTCTTTCTTCTTCCGTTCTTTTTCTTTCTTCTTCTTGCCTTTGCTTCTCCATTTCTGCAAACTTGCCTTTAACGGTTCCTGTGGACATGAAATGCTCAGCTCAGGAGTTCCATCTAACTCTTACCTGTGGAATTCTGTGGCCTTCAAAGTCAGGCCTCTCTTACCTATGAGCTTTGGAACATAACCCTTTTCTGTTTTAGATAGTTTGGTGTCATCATCTTCATCAGAGCCAAGCAGTTCTTTCATCTAGTTGGTGAAACACAGAAAGTAGACTGTCTTTATAACTTAAATGAAATCCCAGTATTATTGTCTTCAAATAATGTGAATAGATTTTCAGATAAAATATTAAACATTGTAACACAAAATATTAGCAAAGAAAATAACCTCCTGCTTTCTCCTGTTCCATTCTCTCTCTCTAACATATTGTTCTTTTCTTCTTTGCTTTTCATCTCTAGATCTCCTTTGATTTCTTTCTTCCCTTGCTTTCTGCATAGCTTCAAATTTATCCTTTACATCACCCTTGTGAAGCTTGGGCACATAGGACTTTTGGACGGGTTTAGATGAAGAAAGCAGAATCTTGGTGAAGATATAGAAGAAATGAAGATAAGAAAAAGAAAGTTGAAACAGATGGACAGAAATATTCTGACAGATTGGATTAGAAAGAATGTAAGAACATAAAGCAGAAGTATAACTGAGATAACAAACTTTGTGCCACGAGTCATCATCAGTTAAGTATCATTATATTTGTTCATAAATAGTATAAATATTAAAAAATCCAAAACAGCATGCAGCATTATATTAAACTATTAAATTATTTGCACATTTCTATTGTTTTCAATCTTAAGCAATCACCAAAGAGACTCTCCACCTCGAATATTTAAAAGAGATACAAAGACATAGATACATAATACAATGTATATGAGAGTTCTTCTGCCACACTTCAACAGCCACCTATAGTTTTTAAATAAATAATAGTATTTCTTAATTTAAAACTTGCAATATGCTTACTTTTTCAATATCTAGGTAAAAACAGGAGCCCATAGATTTTATGTTACAAAGTGCAAAGATCGCTGGACCACCGGGGCTCTGATGCTGATACAGATGGACACTTCTTTGCCAGTGATTAATCTGTGGGTGTCCAAACACCAAGGTTCCCACTTTCAGAACTACTGTGAAGTTTTTTTCTTTTTACAGTGATGACAACGGGAATGCTCTCAATAAAGTAATACTGAGAAAACTTGCTTAAAAACATGCTGTGTTTTGTATTTTTCCACATACACCAGAAGTTTTTGTTCCTGCTACTCAGTAAGTCTACATAGAAGAGGAAATATTTGAAGTAGCCTAGTATATTTACATTTTAGCATCAGATGTAAATTTTGCCCAGAATTTTGCCACCAACATTTAAACCATCTTCATATTTCACCCTCCTCCTTCATGTTTTTCTAATAAGAACATAATTCACAGATTCCATCAAATCTTAAGCTACTTAACAAATCCCCTTTCATTGTCTAAAAATAATGGCAATACCAGCAGACTTCCAGTATAATTGTCTTTTACAATTATTTGTAAATATTACTTTTGCAAGCATCAGTTGTAAATTATTACATTGCCTTGATTACTTTAAAATGGGTACATACCTCAGTTTTCTGTGCAATGTCATTCATGGTTGCTGTATTGTGCTCTGCACCTGGTATGTTGTTTAAGATGGCTTTCAGTTTCTACCTGAAAGAAACAGTTGTAGTTACATTCCTTTCTTTTCCTTTTAAATGATGCTTTAACCATCTTCCTGTAAATAAGTTTGCATAGGCTGAAATGGATGTATCACAATTTCACTTGGTCCGCTGGGGCTTTTGAAGACATGAATAGGTTCTAAGTGTGCCACAGTAATTAAAAGAACAAGCTTATGATTCACTATTCATGCTCATAACTCCTCTATATAGTCCTAGGTATTGGGTTCTAATTTCCATTTAAAAAAACAACTCGGAGCCGAACTCTGGCTGCCCCTTGCTGCTCGTTGCCAAACCGCTGCTCCCGGTGCTCGCGGCAGCCCGAGGAGCGTCCCCGGCCCGAGCTGGGAGCGCCGATAAAAACTTCTGCAGTTAAAAACTGTGAAATGGGAGAGGTAAGCCACACACAGATAAAGCATTTGTATAATTTAGTTGTGTTCTGGAAATGAATAGTATGTTTTAGAAGAAAATTGTTAGAAATGTTAAAGTACACTGTATAGTAGGAAGCTAACAGAAAGGCGCTTTCCCTTTTTCTATTCAGCTTCAGGTATATCAAAGCTGGTGGGAGGAAGGAAATCATGATGTGACTCCAGTGCTACTGCTGCCTGGATTGTATTGATCCTCTGTGTCCCCGGAAAGCCTAAAAACTCAGGAGCCAACTCAGGGTGCAAATAAGGGGCTCAAAGATTTTAAGCAAAAATACTGGAAAAGCAGCTTACCACTGGAAGGGACTTCTCACTTGTGGTTTAGAGGAGCTGAAGTCAGGGATTTTCATGATACGGAAAGTTAAGCTCTTATTTTTCAAATTCTCTAAGTGTTAATTGCAAACAGATTATAAACACAGAAATATTTATGTACTTTTAAAAATAATTAATAATGAGAGTTGTTTTCATGTCAACTCTTCAAAAGTACACCAACACCACCAGTGCTCACTGGCACTGCTGTAGCTACACAGATGGAATGGGATTCTTGGAGATCTTGGGATGTTTTTCCCAATGAAAGCAGTCACAACATACAAAACAAAAGCATTTAGCTACCAACGCTTGCCCTGATTTACAAATTCTAAACTCTTCAAATTTGGCTTCAACAGAGATGTTCTGGAGAGCACTTTGGTGTTCCCTTTCAGCCAGTTGGTACAGAAAGTCACACCACTCCTTCATTTGTAGACTAATAGGAATCCAACGCATTTCAGTTTCTCACTTGTGAACATATGAACATATAATCACTAAGTGGCAGTTCCTATTGAGTTTGTTTCAGGTCAGTAATAGCATGTTGGAATTCTATGGGGTCTAGAAAGGCAGATAATTGCATCAGCATTCTGTAGCCTCAGGGTCCCTGTAGGCTTTACCATGCATTTGTACATTGTGCAGGATTTGCATATATCTGTAAGCTTTAACTGACTTCTATGCATGTAAGCAAATTCCCCACTGTGATCAGTATAACTTTAAAACCGCTTCAAATCTTTTAACTTCCTTATTTCTATAAGCAGGTCTTAGAGAAAGTTCTTTGTTCTCTTCTTTTGCTACTCTGCTCTTTTAAAGGCTCCTTCCCCACCTGGGGCTGGCCACCTTCAGCCTTGTCAAGTACATACATACATACAGCAGCTGACCCAAAGGTTTACTGCAGGAACCCATCAGAAAACAAAGGAAAGTCATAAATTGGTGCAATCCTTGCACTGAAGTAACCTGGGACGTAGAGACCTTTTACCCTTCACATGGGGCTGTAGCAGAGAAGACTCAAAGATAATCTGTCACACGAAATTCCATCTCACCTCAACACCTCAAGGTGACGTTACCACTAATCTTGACCATAGAAATGTACTCCATGGATAGAGCTTCATCTTACAGTCATTTGAAAACTGACTATTCCAAAGTCTGGGGTTTTGTGTGCAATTAATTGTAAGAAGAAGATGATGTTCCTGACTCAAGACTTTGTCTTGAACCTTTCAATTACCTGAACTTATTGACAGTGGGATTAAAAAGTCTGAAATTTTCCTTAGAAATGCGAATGTTGGAAGAAAGTTTCTTTGCAAATTCCTGCTGTCTGAATTTCCAAAATAGTGCCGGTCCAACAGGTTGTGGGCCTTCAAGATGGCAGATATGTTTCTGCCATTTGGAATACTGCCATATCTGCTATTACTTTAGGCAACTTTCCAGTTCATTGGCATCAATAACTCTAATATGTTTGAAGGTTAGCCAGCTGGCTCTAAGGCATTTTGTCCCTGCAAGTCATCCTACCTCCACTTCTGATGCTAAAAGATATTGATACAAAGCACCAGCACACTGCTAAACATGATACCACCCATGTGTGCACTTCCATCCCTCTCCATGGCCATTAAACCTTGAGCAGGATGAGCAGCTGGACCCTGCCTCGGGCACCCCTCAGGGCAGGTGAGTGATTTCCAATAGAGACAATTAAAATATTGAAGAAAACAAGCACTCCTTGAGTTTTGGGTTGGGTCTGTGAGGCAGTGACCATGGCTTCAGGAGCAACCACTGCAGACAGAAGCTGCTTTGTATCTGCCTCACCATCAGGAGAGGGTCCCAGTCAATGAACTGGTGCTGAGAAAGCCCAAGTGGCTACACAAGGAAACCCTGACACCTACAAATCATGGAAGAACAGTGCCTTCCTCATCTGCCAATAGCTTTGCAGAAGTATGCAGTGATAGATTTTCCAACCCAAGAAACCTTGACCTACTAATTCCATTTTGAGATGAACTAGTTATATTAAATTGGCCATTTATATATACATATTCTTGTTTTGTATTTTCCCAGAGTTCATCTAATAAAAGCAATTCTCATTTTTTGAGGCAACACAAGCTGCCTTTTTAGTTGCTTACTTCAGAAACTCTTTCTCCTATTATGATGCTGTCCAATCTTAATATTCAGTCTCATCTTTTCTTTTCCAAGATCAACATACCACAGCAGAAGCTGTAAGGGCTCCTCATTGAAGCTTCCCACTCAAAAAAAAAAAAAATCCCAGATGATAACTTTGGACATAACCGTGGTCAAAAAACAAGTTCAGCTTTTTACCCTTTGCTGACCCAGTCTTATCACTCCAGCATGCACCTGAAAATACTGTAATTGTTTTTTTTCTCTCTACATCTATCTTTCCTACAATTAAATGGCATATCTTTGATAAAGTTAGTCTGGTGTTATGAGTTTTATACTGAAAGTACCGGACTGCAGGGTCCCTTTGAAAGATCCTCAAGAAAAATTTAACCTGCGTCCAGTGATCAATGGTCCTAACTCTGGAATTGGAAAATAGAGAAAATGCCACTTAACTTGACTGGTTGTAATGCAGAGAATGCAAGTAAAAATTTAATACAAAAGCAATAATGCATAGAAAACCAGACAACAGATTAGAAATGTTCTGTAAAAAATAAATTACTGCTTTCAAACATCTTACTCATTTACTGTAAATGGACAAGCAATCAGTTCAGCTATGCCTTGACCTGTTATGATCATAGCACTTTTTCAACTTTTCATGCAGCCTCCCTAAAATCTTACTTTGGGCAAAAAAAGTCAAAAAAGAAAACCATTAAGAGGACACAGAAAATTTGATGGCTCACAAGTCCCTAAATCTATCTCCTTAAATTTAATTAATTTCCATTTCTGAAAGCAGGTCATAGTCCTCAATTGATAAAAAAAAAATAAAAAGAAAAAAAAGAAAAAGTTGTGCAGCTTTAACCAGATTTAAAAATAAAAAACCTTCCCATAAATAATAAAATTCACTTTCTTTTAAAAAATTCTTGTTTTTCAGTGGCATGATAGACATCATCACATGCGACCCAAAAAATACCAGCATTTCCCTGAACTGAACACCACTATTTACAATAGGAGTATGAAGTCAGGACTTTTAAAAAGGTTCAGTTCCTCTGTGATTTCTCCTTTCAGAGGGCCTCCTGATCTCCTGCTGGGTGCTGTGAGTTATAAATAAGCCCTTCATGGCACGGTCTAAGTTACGTTTGCCATCTGCCTCCTCTTTGTGATCTACTTGCAGGGAAGTCTCCATTATGTAAGAAAACCAAACTGTGAGAGCTGAAAACTCACTGCTTGCAGCCAGAGCACCAAGCAGAGGCAAACACAGTCTGCAGCACTGAAATATTTAATAAAATATCAAACAGAAGTGGGCAGAGGAGGGGAAATGGTCATCATTTGTGTCCTGCCCATAACTGCTCTGGAATGACACCACCAGTTGTTGTACCAAATTACAGATACTGAAGTAGGCACTAAAATTATCATGCTTAGGAGAAGATCCTGAGCTGGCATCAACCATCAATTCCACTGAAGCCAGGGAGTTATAACAATTAATACCAGCTGTCTAAACTTCTCATTTTGTATAAATACAAAATGCAGAACTACTTCCACTCACTTGTATTTCCTTCATTAAGCCTTCATAATTGAAGACCAGAATACTTACCAACAAGCGACCCAGATAATTTTTCATACACAATCTTTTCCTCAATCTTTAAATTTATCACACTTCAACATTTATTGAGAGTCTTATTTTGTTGTAGAATACTCCTTGCAGATAGGGTGTTATTTATAAAAACATACATATTATAAAGGATGCCTATGTTTTATACAGCTATAAACACTCCTTATGCAACAATACCATTCAGCCCAGCTGTTTAAAAAATGGGATCACCCTTCTCTGTACAACAGGTCTGTTGATTCCTTACTCTCTTCTACTATTCTGGCTCCAGAGCAAACAGAGTAGGGGTTCAGAGACTGCTCTGGTAATGGGGAAGTCCTGCTGGGATCTTCTGGCCCATGATTTCATGTTCCATGGTATCTGCTGATCCTAATGGAAGCGGCAGTAAATTGTGGACTGAGGTTCCCAAGAGACAAACCAGGATATTTTGCCCCATGCCACAGTTCCTTCATTCCCTGCTGTGTCAAGATGAACCATGTGCTTTTTGACTTCAATGACAGGACTTCAGAGATCAAGGTAACACAAATGCTGGCCACGAGGTGCTATTGCAATTTGTATCTTCCCTGCTAACAGGACACAGCCTTTCTGCCTCTTCTCAGAAGTGCTCTTGGCCAGCTCAGACTGAAGCAGGGTGGTCACCCACAGTGGCCATGGCCTGAGCTCTGCCTCTGCCCCAAAGGAGAGGTTTCCAGGGCTTCCTAGAGGCATGCTACTGCTTCTCCTTGAGCAGCTCTACCCCGCTGGTGCTGCTGATGCCTGTAAAAAGCTGCATCATGTGTACCACCTCCACCTGAGCAGGTACAGCTGCCTTCAGTGCACAGCGAGGGTCACTTCCATCGCCTCCTGCACCATTCCCCCAGTGCCAGAGCTTTCCCCACTGCCAGCCTGACCACGACACTGGCTCTCCTGAAAGGAGTTGCAAAGCTCGATAACCACACCAATGCTCGCCTGGCTTCTTTCACTGTGAAAACACTCATCGAATACATTCCAAATGCAGTCAGACAAAGTATTCCTTACTAATGTCTTCAGCGATTTACCCAGCTCTTGTATTTCACCAGACTGTGCTTCCTACATATACCAGTCATAGTCTCATACTTCTGCATGCTCCTTAATTAATACACTTGGCCCTTCTATAGGACTAATTATAATCCATCATTTCATTTCATTGGACAATTTTCTAGATCTAACGTCTCTTAAGACCTGGGATCTAAGGTTAAGAGTACTGTGTTTTCTACCATGCAACAATTTGATGATTAATTTTTGAAATTCTACCATGCTTCCTTAAACATGCTTTTTTCATATTTGTTGGCTTAAAAGAAGCCCTTATTTACCTAAAACAAACGTGATACTAACTAATCTGTAAGCTGTCACGGAAGCCAAATATTTTCTTCCGAGCCACTCTTTTACAGCCATCACTCAGAGCGAAGCAGAACCAACGGACGCATTCAGTGTGCCGCGCTGCCGAAGACCGCACCAACAAAACTGAACTCTGCGCGTAGCGGCTTCTGAAAACTGGGGATTTACGGGATTTCAGCTAACTTTTATGAACCGCACATCACTCACCGCGGGTCCCTCACGGCGGGGCGGGACGGCCCTCCCGGGCTCCGCGTCCCCCGGGCCGCCTCAGGGCCGGGCGGGCAGCGCCCGGTGCGGGGCAGCGCCCGGTGCGGGGCAGCGCCTCCGGTTAAACGGCCGCGGGCGCGCCCGCCGGCCCCGCGCGCCCCGCGCCCCGCTCAGCGCTGCCGGCCCCGCACGGCGCTGCCGCTCCGGGCGCTGCCCCAGCCGGGCGCTCCGCTCCGCCGCTGCGGTGCGAAGGGGCGGCTGCCCCGCAGCCCTGCGGGCTGGGCTCGGGCCGGCCGCCGGCGGAGCGGAGCGGGGAGGAGCGGGGCGGCTCTCGCCGCGGCAGCCGCCGGGCAGGCAGCTCCGGGCCCGCCGCACGCCGGGGCAGCGGGGCCGGCTGCGGGCGGCGGGGAGCGGAGCGGAGCGGGGCGGGGGGAGCCGAGCCGCGCTGAGCCCCGCGGCGGCGGAGCCGCTCTTACCTGTGCGCTGCCCGCGCTGCGGCTCGGGGCGCTCCGGCGGCGGGCGGGCTGCGCTGCCGAGCGCCCCTTGGCTGCGGCCGCCGCTCCGCCGCTGCAACTTTCCATAAAAGTCGCGACGCGCGCCCGGCGCCCGCATTCCAGGCGAGCCCCGCGCCGCGGCAGCTGGCCCGGCCCGGCCCGGCCCGGCCCCGGCCCTGCGGCTCGGCGCGCCGCGCCCGGCCCCTCGTTGGCCGCGCGGGGGGCGCAGCCAGCCAGCCAGCCCCCCTCCCGCGGGCAGCAGCCCGGCCAACAGGCTAATTTTGGGCTGGAAGCAGCACCGAGCTATAAATAACCGGGCCGGCGAGGCCGCCGCTCCGCTGCGCGTCCCCGGCCGCGCCGGCCCTGCCGCAGGGCAGCGGGCGGGGGCTCCGGGCCGGCGGGACGCACCGGCACCCGCCGCCCGCTTTCGCCCTGCCCGCACCGCCCCGAACACCGCGGCTTTTCCCGGCCCGGTACCCGCGGGGCAGCCCCGGGGCAGCCCCACTCACCGCAGCCCCGGCCCCGCACGCAGGGCGCGCTCCGCTGCGCCCGCTCTGCCGGCCCGCGGGTTTTATACCTACGGCGGTCCGGAGCCGGGTCGGTTAATGGCACATGCGGAGCGAACAACTAATAATAGTAATGTGACAGCGGGGAGGAATCTCCCGAGTGCCAGACTGCGAGAGGCAGAGCGCGGTGGCTCAAAGCAGCGCCTGTCGCTGGGAACTTTACAAAGCAGAGGCAGAAACGTGATTTTATTACATCTGAATGCATTCCTTTTCCTGCTTGAAGATGACATTTTTCCTACGTGCTCAGTCGCAAGGTTTCCAGTGCAGAACTTTCTTCTTCCTATCTCTCTTGTATTGTGTCTGCCGGACTGGAGCCTAACTTTCAGCTGGGTTATCACTATTAGGACAATAACCACATGACCTTAGGCTGTGCAGATCTGAACAGCGGCTATCAAAGCTAAAACACAAAAGGCATTTGCCTTGTGAAGGACAGAGCAGGCACTTTTCCCCAGTGCCACCCTCGTACTGAAGCACAGGAGTCGAGTCGGGCTTCTGACTGCAAGGAACCCACCCGCTTTGAGCAGATGAACACATAAACATGCAACACATACAACAAATCTGGGCAGTTCAAAGCGCCCTTCTACAGCTGTAGGGGTTAGACTCTTTATGTCCTCTATTTCATTACTTATATTACTCCATAAAGGAGGTCTTAATCCACAACTGGAACTCAGTACAGCCGTTTGGCTTGGAAATAAGCCTGAAAAAATCTGTCTCCTAAAACCAAGTAGAGAGACAACAGCTTGGCTGTTACAATGCGACTGCTGTATGCAGTGAAACTGGACAGCCCAAAAGCTGCTCCCATTCAATATTTTTAAAATTTATAAAGTAATTTTTGTAATAGTTGTTATTTGTTGATTTCAGGCAGCAAACTCCAATTTCAGGGAGACTAACTGGTATCAAAATTCCTCCCATATTAAATGATTTTGCATGAGATTTCAAGAACTGGTCACATTCAAGTTTGAGATACAGTTATATGAGCAACAGTTGTTTCACTGAAATATTTTATTTTATATACACAGCTGCAGTTCATTTAGGCAATAGAAAGGTCACAAATACTCTTACTGACACTTGATTTGACACATTTACTTTGATAGAAACCAAACACTACAAAAAGGAAGAATAATCATTAAGAACACATTCAAAGTAAAATGATTATTACAACTAAATTACAAATGATATAAATATTTGATTCTTTATAATCCAAATGCATTCAACATTTCTAGTCTTAGGAGTACCGTTATGGCAGAAGAGGATGGCTTTTAAATTTAGTTTGTTCTTATTAGGATGGAAAGTATAATTCAAAACTACCTAAGTTTAGACACTATAAACTAAATTCTGAGTCTGATTATGAATGAACTAGAGTAGAACTGCATCACGCCATCACTGCTGTGGTGCAGCTCTGGCACTTGTGTTTGCAGAGATGGTGGGTGCACTTCTGAATTCTTAAGCCACACAGCTGGTTATCAACAAATGTTCTGTCCAGCTCAAGGTGCAGGTTGTAAGAGAACTGAGTGGAGCTCTGTGCTGCAAGGAGAGAGCCTTCTCCCATTTGAACTGGCATCTCTCTCTGGAGTTTGTTACATACTCAGAATAGATAGATGCTTTTTAGAAAAAGATCAGAAAAGACTCAGAGGAGATCAAAAGCCTTCCCATCTGTACCTGGACATTTCCCTGTCTCTCTATTCCCTTCTTTTTCAGCTTCTTTACTGTTTCTCAATCAAGTGTTTGTTGGTGGCATCTTATAACAACCAGATCCTGTATTTCTTATTTTGGATGGGAAATACATCGGTTCAATTTCCAGTCCAACTCTGTGGACTTTTGAGAGCTCTGAGTGTACAGAAGTGCTGTTTGAAAGGGACACAAATGCTCAAGTCACATATTATGAAGTTCTCCCCATTTTCTAAATAGTTTGGTGTTTGATTAGACCTTTCTTATTCTTCTGTTGTTTTAAACAATCCTTTTGTTTTTGACAGAAGACCAAGTTTCCAGGTTTAATTATTTTCCAAGTGTCTGGAAACATTTATAATCTCATCTGCAACTCTGTTTCTTCAACAGTTTTTTATACATAATATGAATATCTCCATATACCCTTAATTCTGTGAAGAGGTGCATTTCTGTTTCTCTGTGATGTATGTTAAGGTATAATTTTCTTCATACCATTTTATTAGACCCAGACAAATCACAGCAGACACTCTGTTCTGTTACCTACAGGTCACACATTTACTGAAGAATATGCAGAACACTTACTCTGTTCCTTCTATTTCCAGCTATTCCTATCAATTCTGAACCCAACAAGACACCTTTATTGCTCCATATAATTTCTTTTATAACTTGCAAAAAGCTGCCAAAATACACATAGCTTAAACATATTTATCTGCTCAAAACTTAAGTGAGGTGGGTGAAAAAAACTTCACATGTCTGTATTGAAGACACATTGCAGAGAAAATAAAATACAGCAAGGAGAATGGTGCCAAGCTCTGCAAGTTAAACAGTGGAAATAGGCCAAGAATAGCATTTGGAATTTCTGTTTTATTATATATAGAGTATACTCTTTTTTGTTAAATAAACTATCACCAGTTGGCATTTAACACAAGTAATATGACACATTTTCATCATTTTTCGTATTTATCAAATGAGTACAACAAAGGAGCAAAATGGAGTAAAATCTATCAATTACACAGACCTTCCTTTTGAATAGCATCCTTTTGGGTTGTGTTTGACATGAAAGCTGAAATGTTTCTAGTCAAAGATTGTTTTGATATCCTAGATTTTAACAACATGCTTCTTAAATATCTGAATATTTGGAATTACTCCATATTTCTTGATGGGATAGATTCTTGTGGGCTGGATTTGTGTGGCAAAGGCATGTAAGTGCAGTTTTAGAGCTTAAACTTACTATGAAGCATTGCTTCAGTTGACAGAAATTCAAAGGTTACAGCTCATCATTATTCATTGCCTCTGGAACAGGAAGGGCCATTGCTGCAAGGTGCCTCATGCCTTCTGAAGGTGCTGGGCTCCTGTCTGAAGTTCAGGGTTCCATGGCCTGAGCCACAGTTTTACACTGCACAGAGATGGCCAAACTGCATAAATCCCCTTTAAACAGACACCTGACTTCCCACAAAGAAAGGAGGAAGACACAAATTATTAAATTATAAAACACTGCCTTCAATTCTGTTTCATGATTAATAAATCTTATAATACATACTTATTTAAAAATATATTTTGAAATGCTACATATGAACTGTGAATAAGATTGGTTCATTTACCACCATATTGAGTAGTAATGGTTTTAGAACAAGGAAATTAATTGGTGCAGCTAGTATAGCTTTTCAAATACAAACAAGTATTTTAAAACACCTTAGTGATATTTAGATATTTTAAATCAAAACAAAGTAAAAATTGCATACTGGCAGTCATTCCTGCCCAAATGGTGCTCGCATTTCCTGCACTGCTCCATTCCACTGCAGTACCAAATGGCTGCTTACAGCCACACAAATGGAATTCTGGGGCAGGGGCGAGATGTTCAGTTCTGTGCGTGTGATTACTTTATTGCACGTGTCACATGAACCACAGACTGCAGACACCCCAGTCAAAACACCTCCTAGATCTAGACACCTAACGATTTGGAGACTCTGCAATGAACATTTTGTACTATAAGCTTGTAAAGGAAACAACTCCATCAGCTTCACTTACGAATTATTTGTGCAAAAGTACAGTATCTCATAAATAAACTTTACCCGAATATTACAGAAGAAAGCTTTGGGATACATTAAATATAAATACAGCAACAGCTGAGCTGCAAAATTAATTTAGGTATATACAGTAATACGCTCCCCAGTTCTTTTCACAGATGTACATTTAACCTCCCTGAGTCCTTTTCCATACTTAGCAACACGATGCATTCCCAGATGCTTGCTCAGTAACAGTCCAGTAGTTTAGCACTAGAGAAAAGGGTGGAAAAGAGCACATCTGTGTGCACTCCCTGTCATTTGGGATGTTAAGCTTACTGTACTTTTGCCTCCAGGAGCCCACTGGTGAGGACAGGCCTGTGGCCACTGACACAGGCCCCAACGTGTCTCAGCGAGTCTGCCCCAAGGTAGGCCAGCAGCAGCTCCGTGTGCCGCATCAGCAGCTGCGTCAGGTCTTCTGCCAGGCTCTCCATCGTTGAGTATCTCACCTTTTCAAAGTCAAAAATATCTTTGAGGAAGAAAAGCACTTGATCCTAGTGAGGAAAAAAAAAAGAAAAAGAAAAACTTGTTTTCAGTTACAAGAAGGAAAAAAAGTATGCAATGCTAACAGCTCTCTCTGTATCATGTTCCCTAAAAGCATCCAATTATGTATTATTTTGGTGCTGAGATAGAAGTGTGCTAAAACAGCCTTTGCAAAACAGTTCCAGGCTTAAAACATTCATATGAAAGTACTTACTTCTTATGGTTTTTTTACTATTAGCCTTAATCTTAGGAAAATGCAAATGTATACTAATAAATAAGATCTTAATTTATTTTAATCAGAAAGATTTTTTTTTAAATTTATAAAAGTGGTAATTAAAAAG